CCATCAAGCCCCACCCGAGACCATTCAGTTTTAAGCAGGTACTGTGGCCTCCTTCCCTTTCTTTGATTTTGCACGCAGTAGTTTTTGTTGAGCAGATCCATGCTCATGCATAGCTCTGGGGAGTGGGGGGTGTCCAGTCACTCAGGCACCCCCTCTAGTAACCAGAGTGTAGGTGCACAGACAGTGTGAGACCAATGAACAGAAAAAAAAAAAAAAAAGAATGTCCACACTTTTATCTGTTATTACTGAGGATTTGTCAGACCTCTCTGGTGGAAGCACATCTCTGATCCTTCACCCTCTCTGTCATGTGCTAGATGGTCGATCTGGGACCCACTGGCAGCCTCAGATCAGAAAACACCATCTTTCTTGCTTCTGCTACAAATCCTACTACCAGTAAGCCTTCAATCTTTCTAAATATTCCTTTACATATAGTTCAGAGTTCTTGTATCATTCCCTGAATCTACTTTGTATGGTATTCTGTGTTATTGCTGGCAGAGGTCTGCACAGCACTTCTCCCTTAATCTGGCATTAAGCCCTGTCTCTCTGGTCCTGAGAGATTTTATTCCATTCATATCATCACAGTCAGCTCTACTTTGAGGTGGCAGCTCTTCCCCAACAGCATTTTGAGTGCCTTCCAAAATGAGGGGCTCATCTTCTGGCACTACATTCGACAATATTCTGGTGCTCTTCATCATGTTCCAATATTCAATAATCTGGTGTTGACAGTGTTCTACTGCTACTCATAAGGTTTTCAGTGACTAACTATTCGGAAGTAGTTTCTCGCTCCTCTTCCCAGTTTGTCTTCATCTGAAATATTTAAAATACTGGTGGTATTTAAAACACCAGTGGCATAGCTTCCAGAATTACAGCAACACAGAAGCTACCACAGAATGACAAACTGACAGATGAGTGGTGGCTTTTGCCCATAGAATCTTTCAATACTGCAACTTGAGGCTAAATTTTTTTCTTCAGTTCTTTCAGCTTGAGAAATGCTGAGTGTGTTCTTCTTTTTTGGTTTTCTAACTCCAAGTCTTCGCACACTTCATCATAATACTTGATCTTGTCTTTTTGAGCTTCCCTTTTAAACTTTCTGTTCAACTCTTTTATTTCCTCATTTCTTCATTTTGCTTTGGTATTTCTATACTGGGAAGTAAGTTTCAGAATCTTTTCTGACACACATTTTGGTCTTTTCCTTCTTTCTTGTTTTCTTTATGATTGTTTGCTTTCTTCCTGTACGATGTTCTTGATGCCATTCCACAACTATTCTGCTCTTCAGTCATTAGTGTCTAATGCATCAAATCTGTCCTTGAGATAGTCTCTAAATTCAGATAGGATATGTTCAAAATCATATTTTGGCTCTCATGGACTTGTTTTAATGTTCTTCAGCTTCAGCCTGAACTTGCATAAGAGCAATTGATGGTCTGTTCTACAGTCTGCCTCTGGCCTTGTTTTGGCTGATGATATTGAGATTTTCCACCATCTCTTCCCACAGATGTAGTCAATTTGATTTCTGTGTATTCCATCAGGTGAGGTCCATGTGTATTGTTATCTTTTATGTTGTGTAAAAAATGTATTTACAATGAAGAAGTCATTGGTCTTGCAGAATTCTATCATGAGATCTTTGTTATCATTTCTATCACCAAGGCCATATTTTCCAACTACTCATCTCTGTTACAACCTTTACATTTCAATCATAAGAAATTATCATTACATTTTGATGGCATGTTTAGAAGCCACATATAATTGTTGTTTATTTGTCACTTTTTCTGTTTTGTTTTGTTTTTTGGTAACAATTTCTGAAACTTATAAAATTAGAATATGCTCAATTAAAAGGAATAAAGCAAAAATCAGCTGTTTGAAAATATTCTTAAACATTCATTCTAGGTCTCAGTTTCAAGGCTCATTTAATCTTTCTTGAGCATTTATTGAACATCTTCTATTGTGTGAGGGGATATTGGTGTTTCCATGGTACAATTCTCACTGAGTTCCATTCCTGACCAATGAACTTCATATGCAGCCACCACCCATCTGTCAGTGAAAGCTTGTGTGCTGTTTTGATGCTGAACAGGTGTCAACAGAGCTTCCAGACTATGGAGATTAGGAAGAAAGGCCTGACAACCTATTTCTGAAAATCAGCCAACAGTCTGATCTTCCAATGATCATAGGGCTGGTGCAAGAACTGGAGAGCATTTAGTTCCATATGTATGAGGGACTACGGACCAGGGGCAACTCAGCAGCAGCTAACAACAATTTTGTGCCTGGCAGTTCCTTTCCTCTGGCTATTCATGCCTGGGCTGAATGGGAATCACTATTGTATACTGACTGCTCACTTCCTGCCAAGCACTAATTTGGAAAGTACATACCCTCTCACTTCAGCCCACGACCACCACACAGTTATTGTTGTTAGGTCTTGTCAAACCGGTTCTGACTCATAACAACCCCATGTATAACAAAACGAAACACTGCCCAGTCCTACGCTATCTTCATAGTTGTTATATTTGAGCCCATTGTTGCTGTCATATCAATCCATCTCATTGGGTTGCTCCTCTTTTTCGCTGACCTTCCACTTTACCAAGCATGATGTCCTTCTCCAGGGACTGGTCCCTCCTGATAACATGCCGGAAGTACAGGAGACAGAGTCTCATCACCCTTGCTTCTGAGGAGCATTCTGGCTCTACTTCCTTCAAAACAGATTTGTTTGTTCTTCTGGCAGTCTATGGCATTTTCAATATTCTTTGCCAGCACCATAATTCAAAGGCATCACATGCATATGAGACAACTGTAACCACCATGGCTTTGGTCAGGTGCAACTTAGTGACATCTTTGCTCTAGAACACTTTAAAGAGGTCTTGTGCTGCATATTTGCCCAATGTGGTTTGATTTCTTAACTGCTGCTTCCATGTGGTTCCAAGTAAAATGAAATCCTTGACAACTTCAATCTTTTCTCCATTTTTCATGTTGTGAGGATTTTTGTTTTCTTTACATTGAGTTTAATCCACACTGAAGGTTGTAGTTTTTGTTGTTTTAATTTTATCATCACCATAATTCAAAGGCATCACATGCATATGAGGCAAATATAGCCACCATGGCTTTGGTCAGGTGCAACTTAGTGACATCTTTGCCCTAGAACAGGAAGCAAGCAAGGTTGTGTCACCTGCATATTGTAGGTTGTTAATGAGCCTTTCTCCAATTCTGATGTTGCATTCTTCTTCACATAGTCCATTTTCTCATATTATTTGCTCAGCATTCAGACAGAATAAGTATGGTGAAAGGATACAACCCTCATGCACACCTTTCCTGATTCTAAACCATTCATCAGTATTCCCATATTCTGTTCACGTACAGGTTCCTCATGAGCACATTAAGTGTTCTGGAATTCCCATTCTTCAGTTGTTATCTGTAGTTTGTTTTGATGCACACAGTTGAATGTCTTTGCATAATCAATAAAGCACAAGTAAAAATCCTTTTGGTATTCTCTGCTTTCAGCCATGATCCATCTGATGTCAGCAATGATATTCTTCATTCCACATCATCTTTGGAATCTGGCTTGAATTTCTGACAGCTCTCTGTCAGTGTACTGCAGCAACTGTTTATGAATTATATTCAGCAAAATTTTACTTGTATGTGATGGCTGGTGTAGTTGATCTTGCAGTTCAAACTGACCTTTTGGTCCAGTGCATTATCTCACAACTCTACACCTGTGCTATTATTTTTCCCAATATACAGATGAGGAAATTGAGGCTCAGAAACCTTGTGCAACTTGCCAAGGTTATGCACCTAGGAAGTGTTGACCAATGCCACCCAGCTCATCCCTTGTTTTAAGGACTGTCTATATACTGGAGTCCTGGTATGGTGATGAATGTTAATGCTCTGGACTGCAAAGTCAGTTTGAATTGCAAGGTCAGCAGTTCAAGCTCACCAGTTACTCATCAGAAACCCTATATAGGGTCATTACAGGTCAGAAGCAACTTGATGGCACTTAACAACAACATACATTGTGGTTAAATTCATATCATTTTACTTGTTAAAGGTCCATTCTCCATCTCCTCCCCCCTAGAATGCACTCCCCGAGAAGATCTCTATCTGGCTTGTCTGTTGCTACAGCATTGACATAGAGAATGTCCCCAACACTTACAGTGCTTGGCAAATACTCACTGGAGGCAAGAGAGGTAGAGGGCTAGGCCTACCACGTGGCCCTGAAGGCTGGACACACCCACACTCCCTATTCCCCCTAAGGGACCCAGTGCTGAACTGCCCAGTTATTCCTCCCCTAGGCTCCCAGGGATGGGTAAGACGGGTGCCTGTACTACCACTTCCTGGTTTGGGGCCACATTTCTTAGAATGTGTTTCTGGTGCAGAACCATTTCATCCCTGGATCCGAAGCTGCCGTCTAAGGTTCTCACCACTTGCACTCCTGGTTTGGTTTTCCCAGGCACCTGCTCCGGCCCTGATCTTAGATAGATACCTTTCTACTAGGGGTCCTGCCTTCACCTTTTACCCTATAAAAACTCGCACCCTGGGGCATCTATCCACAGGCAGTATTGCTACTCCTGAGAGCTTTCCTGCCTGAGAGGCCTGAGCCCCTCCTCAGTCACCCCTCTTCTGAAGCTGACCCTCCTCTCCATGTTTCCCATTCCTGGGTCCTGGCTAGCTGGACCACCCACCTACCAGGGATACCCACCCACTCCAATGACACCACAAGGAATGTGTGCTGGAAATAGCATGGCCTTTGACATGACATTTAGATTTGAAGTGTCTATCTTTTCCTCTGTTTTTAGTCAGAATCAAGAGTGTTGTAGATATTCAATGCTAACGACACCTAGACAACAGCACTTGTTCATTTTTGAAAGCATGGTTTTAAAAACATCTGGTGTTTCTGTGCTTTCAAACCCTGCAGGTCTTGATGCTGATGTGAGTTTTGACATGGCAATCCAGGCTTGAGGTTGAGAGAAAAGAAGACAGGATACTCCCCACCCCCAGATGGACCCAGGGGTACGCACTTTGGAAGTCCAGCTGCAGGGACAAGACATCCTTGAAGAGGATGCCCTCCTGCTTGGCCAGCTGCCCAGCCTCCTCACGGGGGCCCTGCTTAGCCACCACCAGCTTCAGCAAGTTGTCATCAATTACTCTTGGTTCCATTGATTCACACTGTAGGTTCATGTCCCCACAGGTCTCCTGAAAAACAAGACAGGGCCCTGTACACAGCTTCTTCCTTTCTTTAGGTTAGAGATGGCTAGGACTTCTTGAAAGGGGCCTTGGGACATCAAGACAGTGACAGACACACTAGAGCTGTCCCTGAATTCAAAGTTCACTCTTTGGCCCTTAGCCCCAGTGATTGTGTCTATTCTGATCTCCTTCACCTCCACACTTCAGCTCTCCTCAGGCCTAGGCCTGGACTCTCTGTGCCCATCATGGCACCACATTTTGACTGGGCTCCCTACCAGACTGGCGTTCCCTGTGGCTTCTACCTCCTGGCTGCCTTGCAAGCTGCCCTGTGCACAGAAGAAACCGATATGCACATTGTCCCTGAGAAGGGTATGTACGGGGCTGTGGACTGAGCACGCCTGTCAGAGTACACAGCGCAATCTGGGAGGAAGTGGGGAGCTGGGCAGTGGCCTGACTCATGGAAGCAAAGGAAGCAGGGAAATGAGGCAGTTGAACCTGGATGGTCCAGAAAAGACAAAAGGCTTAACACGCGGACCCAAACACAGACTGCCTGCTGACAACCAGGTCTTGGGAGGCTGAATGCTGAGCAGGTTTTAGGGGTTCCACGAAGTTCTTGGTTTCTCACAATGAGGACTCTTTTCCTTAAGCTAACGCAGGGAAGTTTCTATTGCTGATGGGCCAAAGGGCTTTGGCTGCCAAAGAAGAGGGTATCTGTAGGTCAGGTTAGTCACACTGCAGGCTGATCTCCCACTGCTAACCCTGACTGGACAGAGCCCTGGCCCTAGGAACCTGGTCTCTTTTTCATCATCCTCAACCCCCTTGACAAAGACATCTAAAAGGACTAGGCCCTCCATGAAGGCACACTCCCCAGTAAGTCTGCTGAAAACTCCTGAACCTTCTGGAAACTCTAGCCTCCCCTGTACTCTCCATCCTGGCTTCCTGGCATCTCACTTTCCTGCCAGCTTTACCTCCTACTTTACCTCTGGGTCTCACAGAAACTCTTTTTCCTGTTGTCCCTCCCGACTGAGTCTGCTGGAGAGACTCCTAATATTGAGCAGTGGTCTAACTCACTTCTCCTGACATGAGACTGGCAAACCTGCCACCTGGTCTTGGGTGCATCTACTGCTTGCATGCCTTCCCTCCTCCCCTACTGCATTTACATGTGGCTTCAGCAAATGATGTGCCACAGTTTATGGGCAATCCATGATCAAATGGCTCTGTGCTTTTAATTCTTTTATTTCCTTCCTTTCTGCCCTAGGAGTGAGACCTTGTGTGGAGCCATCTTGAGAATTTAACTATATTGCTTTGTTGTTACTGTTGTTAAGTGTTGTTGAGTCAGTTCTAACTCACAGTGACCCTGTATGGGGTTTCTGAAGAGTGGCTGGTGCGTTTGAACCACCAACCCTGCAGTTCAGTGCTTATCGTGCAGTGCCTAGCTAATGGAAATGAAGGAGCATGACTTGAGGGATCTCAGCACCCTACCCCTCTTTTCCTGTCTTTCTTAGATGCTTTTAGAATATCAGTAGTCTAACCTTTACTTAGACTTGAAGCCTGCTCCCTTGTTGTGTGGTTTCTGATAAAGATTGGTTATCCAGACAAACAGGCACCAGGAAAGTTAATCTTGTACCCCTTTAGTATGTTAATCGGGATATTGGATCACCTTGTGAATTGGCATGAATGTCAGAGTGATAGGATTGCAGGCTACTTGCCTGCTGTAAAGATTAACATTTAACATTGTTAAATGGGCATAAATATTGCTGTTAAAAAATAATCACCAGATGCCATTGAAAGCTAGCCTCTTTGCTATGAGTGTTCTGGGAGCCAGTGTGCTACCAATAAAAGGCTTTTCTCTTTCTTTCAGAGAGGTGTTTGTTAATTAGACTCAGGGCGTCTTTAAGGTACAATCAGCTCCCTTCTCTACCTGACCTTTCTAGTCTCCAAAACTTTGGTCCTTTCTTCTCACTTTCTCTGACCTCTCAGCACTGGTTCCTCCTCCTTAGACTGACTGATTCAGTCTTCTGAAAGGTGTTTCCTTCGAGTCCTGGTGTGGTGCTGCAGGCTAATGCGCTGGACTACAAAGTCAGTTTGAACTGCAAGGCCAACAGTTCAAACTATACAGGGTCGCTGAGTTGGAAGCGACTCAACGGCACTTAACAACAGCGCCGAAGATGTTTCTATTCCTCAGCTTCTCTCCATCTTCCACTTTGCTGAAACAGTTTCCCCATAACTTGCCAACAACTTGTTTTGGGGAAATTTAAATGTACTGGATTAGGCAGATGTCATCTTAATTCTGATTTCAAAATTTGACTGGCTTCTCATTCCTCTCATCTCATCAAGGCCTGGCACATGTGATAGGTCAATGTGCTTTCAGTCAAACCCAGCCATCACCATGCAGTGTGGAATACTTGTTCTGTCCCTATCTGTTAAGAACACCAAGTCAGGATTTGAATGCCAACAGTGAAACCTTTGGCAACTCACTTCACCTGGATAAACTTTCAATTTCTCACCTGTTTCCAGATCCTATGTTTGCTCAAAGAATTAAATAAAAGCAATGCATACCAAGCTGCTGTCAGGGGAAAGCACTCAATACCTGGTCACCCATTTAGCCCGCACACCTTTACTGAGTACCTACTGTGTACCAGCGTAGTGGTTACGAATCGGGCTGCGGACCTTAAGGCCAGAAATTCGAAACTACCAGCCGCTCTGCGGGAGAAAGATGAGGCGTTCTGCTCCCGTAAAGATTTACAGCCTCGGAAACCCTGTACAGGGTCGCTATGGGTCGGAACCGACTCGACGGCACTTAACAACAACAACAACTGTGTACCATGCATGACATGGATAGATCGCCTTACCACTGTAACAGCCATAAACCAAATAATCACATAAAGATGGAATTACAGCCATGACATGCTTGTCAGTGAAGAGAAGTAGGAGAGCACATGTTAGGGACACCTGACCTGGCCAGAGTTAGAAAAGGCAAGAAGGAACTGCATGGTGGGAGCCCTGAGCGGGGAGAGAACCAGGTCTGTTCCACTTGGGCTGGAGTGAGGTGAGGTTGAAGAGCCTGTGGATGTTTTATTGTTATCCTAACCCCCACCCCCACCCCCAAGCTCCAGGGTTGATGCTGTGTTAAGTTCCAGCGAATCCAGTTCAGCTCATAGCAAGCCTATATAGAGCTTCTAAGGTGCATCTGAATCACTGACATTGCAGTTAGCAGTCCATACCAGAGCTCCTGAGGGTTGATGTTGTTGTTGTTGTTGTTAAGGAGCTCTGGTAGCGTAGTGGTTACGAATCGGGCTGCGAGCCTTAGGGTCAGCGGTTCGAAACTACCTGAGGGTTGATAAGGGCTGTAAAATGATGAGATTGTAAGTTAAGAGGCTTGCTCTGGCTACAGTACTGAAAGCAGCGAGACAAGAGATGACCAGGGTAGGATGAGAGGGGGATCTGAGAGCTCTCAGGAACTTAAAAAAAAAAAAAATAATAATAATAATACATTTAATATATAAAAATATCATCATTCAAACATGTAATTGATATAAAAATTATTAACAAGATATTTTGCATTCTTCCTGTCATCATAACTAAGTCTTTGAAATCCAGTGTGAATTCTTCATTTATATATCAATTTGGATGCTAAATTTTTCTTGGAAATGCTAATTTGTATTTCATAAAATGTGTAGTTGAGAATGATATTATTCTGAATAAAATATGTCAATCGTAAAAAAGGCAAATATTGTATTGTTTCACATCATAAAAAGTCAAGAACAGATACACACACAGGAAGTCACTTTCTAGATAATAGACACTCGATACTTCTGATAATGGGGAAGGTGATCCCAAATATGGGTGAAATCAGAACACTTTTGACCAAGGTAAATATAAAAAATTTAAAAGTACGCAAGAAAAAGATACTCTTTTGCTGAATGAGTTCTGGTAGCGTAGTGGTTACGAATCGGGCTGCGAACCTCAAGGTCAGCAATTCGAAACTACCAACTGTTCCGCAGGAGAAAGATGAGGCTTTCTGCTCCCATAAAGATTTACAGCCTCGGAAACCCTGTGCAGGGTCACTATGAGTCGGAACCGACTCCATGCACATAACCACCACCATAACATATGCAATTTTGCAAAAGTGAAAACACCCATAAGATGTGTGTCGTTATGTAGATATGGCTGCATATGTGAGAAGACTTCAAAAACTTAGTGGAAAAATGGAATTAGAAGATAATGGAGGTCTTATGGGCTGGGGAGACGGTGTCGGCCATGCTGCTGCTGATTATTGCGCTCTGGCTGGCTGCCTAGGGACAGTTCCGAAACTGTTGAGAGCAGTTGCAGCGGACACTTCTGCGGAGCTGACCAGGCTTTCTTGGCCCTCCTTAGGGACCAGCATTAGCAGTCTGTATTTGAAGAACCAGCAGATGATAACAGTGGAAGTCAGGAGATTTCCAGTCTTTTAGATAGTATCTTTTGGATGGCAGCTCCCCAAAATAGGCACAGTATTGAAGTTAACTGGTGTAGGAGAAGAAATCCTCAGAAGCTTATAAAAATTAAACATCATATAGATGTTTGTCCTGAATGTGGTCACCTGAAACAGCAACACATCCTTTGTGGCTACTGCTATCTGCTATGAGATGGTGCGCAAAGAGACTATAGAAATCAGAAGACAGATTGGGAAAGCAGAAGGGGTCTTTTGAAGGCTCCTACCCTAGATACAGTGGTTCTGTACACAGGAGAGACACCAGCGGAGCAAAAGGAGGGCAAGAGAATCACTGAACGAGACAGGAGAGACCATCCTGGTGTACCCAGAATTGACACAACAGGTGTTTAAAGGGGATGCCGTTAATAGCAAAATATTTCTCCAGAAACACCAAGATTCTTGGTTTTTATGTTTTTTTCAACTTATTAATATTTAAAACTCCTTGATATAGTTGAAATTGTTTTTTTGTGTGGGGATAATTTGAAGACTGTATCATGAATAAACTAAATGTTTGTACTGA